AGATCTCGAACGTCGGTTTTGTGGATTATGTACCTGAGACATATTATAAAAAGCCACTGTTATTAAGAGAACAGGAAACTTTCAAATAAATAGTTGTTTAAATATTAAAGAGGCATTTGCATGAGGATCAGTCCATTTGCGCTCAAATTATAATTCAATACCTCTTTCACCAATGAATCACTTCTAAGCGAGATGAAATCACTTAAGTCATTTCATGAACCGACGAGAGAATGAGGCGTGTTAAGTTAGAGTTAGTTTTATTTAAGGTAACACTAATCAAAATACCCTGGCTCCAGAGGTTCGTTATCTAAATACCTAGGATGAAATAACCGATGCACACGCTTTGGTTCAGATTCTGAGACGGAAGAATCAGGAATTAGGAAAGAAAATAGAAAAAAAAAAATTCTTATACATATAGCACCCAGAATCCATATGATGCAAAGTGTCATTTGAAATTTCAAAGTGCCAGTAAAAAAGAAGCTGCTATTTATTTTAAAGAGTTCCTTTTCTTATTTCCTATCAGCGGTGAACAATGTTAACAAAGTGGTATTTTTTCTTTGTGTTAGAAATCATTGGTTTTAATTAGGCTTTTTCAGTCTAAAGGATCATATCCTTCCCTCGACAGAAATCAGCTGTTGCCAAGCACTTCATTGCTCTTTCCACAAACGAGGTATGCACATGGTATAGTTCAACTTTGTTAACATAGATTAACACATTACGAAGGGTTTTCCTTCGCTTTTTCGACCTCACAACAACTCTCCTCACCTCATCTTGCCTCTTCGCGCTCTGTTGCGCAGAAGCCAATTGTGTCTGATTTCAGCTATAATATTTACATTAACCCATCGCCTACCTCCAACTTGAAGGTTCAGGCGATGTAATTCATCTTGTCTTTCACCCAAAATTTGCCCAGCACTTTTGAACCCAGCACGCCGACCAAGGACCCAACTGGTCTAGCCTTTGGGAACACCAAGGTACGAAAACCTCTCCACAGTCACAGACATTAAGGCGTAACCCTTAGAGAGGGATTGTTCGACAGCATCGTGTCATTCCGGAGCTATACTTATTCCTCCTGGAAATGTTGCCAAAAATAATGCTTTTGAAGCTTGTAGAGCGGTTTTCTGGTGGCTCTCTCGTTAAAAATGACCAAAATTGCCAAAACGTTGTTTAGAAGTTGCACACTACCTTGTTATCTATTCCTTGTGGGCAAACTTTCGTGATCCTCTCCTAATCTTTTGTTTCGCACCCATAGCTCTGTTGTCGTTTTCTTTCGCTGGCATTTACTAGGCTTTACTTCGGTGGGAACAGTTTTTTGCAAAGCCTTTGCTCGGTAGGATTAGATTGAAGGAAGTCCGTGAGGGTAAGGGAAAAAGGTCTCCATGGGAAGTTTTTTTTCAACTCTATATAGTTCCTTTGCTTTTTTTGTACGGCCTGTTTACTCAACCTTGCTCAATCGGGTGTGGTTTGAAAGATCCATAAGTGAATGTAAACACATACGACTTAAAATGTGGATGCGGTCCTTAGTTCAGGAGAATCCACCTACAAGTAATCGCGATGGAGTCGGAAAGAACGCAAGTTCATTTTATAAGTGGTTCCCTATAGTCAGGCCCTTTCGTAGGAAATTGTTATAATCCCATGTAGTTAGCACTAACAACTAAATACCGCTTTTAGTAAAGGTTAGTTCACGTTTTTGGGAGTGGCGAGAAAGGTTTTTCTTCAATGAAAAGAATTACCCATTGAGACGTTATGAAAGAAGTATGTCTGTCAGTTCAGATTGCAACTTTGCACACATTGAAATTAACGAATTTATTTGAACGCTATTTGGTCATTTCATTTACAGGAGAAAGTCACAGAATTTGGAATTCTCAAGGAAAACATGTTTGCTTTTTGGGATGTGAGTAATTTAGGCGATACAAAGACTGATTAAGCACTACTATTTAAATCAAACGGCAACCAACACATGACCACGTGATGAATTATTTCCGCCATTTTTCACGTTGGCCGTTGAGTTGCTTTTTACGTTCATAAAATGCTCGGGTAAAAGCTCCCTTTTTTGTCTTTAATGTTGTCGGATACATTACTGTACGATTCAATATAATGCTGTTATGTTTAACGGTGCACATGATGCAAAATGTGAAGAAAGTGATTTGTATTACAAAAAGCCGACTGTCCGTGCGAAAACACTTAAGAATTGAATATTCGCCTTTGCTGGATGGCATAGAGTGACAAGTTTCCCGTGATTTGGGGTTTGCGCGAAAATTAAGCACAACATTTCCGTCCTAAAACGCAAGGCTAGAGGAAAGAGGTTCTCCTTCTTTGTTTTAGGTTTCCAAGTTATTATCTTTTTATCGAAACCTTTCGAAAAATAATGACGATTTTGGTTGTTTACCATGTACAAAAAGTATCCGGAAAATCCTGTTTGAAAGTAAATGGAACACGACTTTGTGGGTCGTTCTAGTAGAGAATTTCCGGGAACAACCGAACATCTGATAAGGTAGTCTTGTTTTTCTGGACGGAATATTCCAAACGGAAATTCGTGTTCCATTTCTTCAAAGCTATCTTTGATAACAGTTTCACGCCTTCGCGGCCGTTTTCGGTAAATGAAACTGATTTTTGCAAATGGTAAACGCTGTTCCGGGACGAAATTAACCAGTCCCGAATTTTGCTTACCATCTGCCCTAACCGTGAACCGACTGGTTTGCACATGTAAATCGTAAACAACCTTTAATTACTTTTGTTTTCAGTGGGTAGGAGGGCGTTACTCTCTGTGGTCTGCCATTGGAATGTCAATTGCTGTGTACATCGGTGAGAAGATTTTTTCATATTCATTAGTCAGAAGTTTCTGTCACACCTAGTGATTTTAGCAACCAAGCGATCAGTAAATTACAGCTGTTAAAAGTGCAGAAAAAAAGGGTACTTGCTATTTGTTCCAAAGAAACCGATTGGAATGACCGCTGAATGATTGTAAAGGTTTTTCCAGCAGGAAGGGGAATGACGTTTACCATTTCCAATAAGCCATTTCCGAGTTGCTCCAAGCAAGGCTAAGTGGGAAGGTATTGATATGAAAATTATTATGTATTTATTCTCATGTTAATTAAGCTCTTACTTAGCCTCGTTTAGCCTTCGACTGAACAGCAGACGCATTTCCGGTCGTCGCTTCTCTCCCTCCGAAAAATAGCGTCTGCGGAGGGAGAGAAGCGACGACCGGAAATGCGTCTGCTGTTCGCAGGCTAAGCCTCGTTTTGAAAGTGAGAGTTTTCAGAACTCGGAAATGGCCTTCTCGCCTTCCGGTTTTGTCGAGATGGCGGATGAAACCTTTAGTTTGCACATGGAAAAGACTAGAAACAGGGGAAATGAGCCGAGAGTGCACAGTTTGTCGACTTCCCCTTCCGAAGGGTAAGAAACTGACATGTACCTCCAAATTTGGAATTTCTAGAAAATTGTTGTCATAAGGTAAACACCTAAGCTCTACAGTTGTACCTTTTTCTTTTGCTCTTATCTGTAGGAATGGATAACTTTGAAGCTCTCCTTTCTGGTGCACATTTTATGGTTAGTGAAGGACACTTCTCCATAATTTTATTTGCTGCATTACTTCAGTCGAACCTCCGCTAACGTACGCCTTCGGTGATCGCTGGTCGACCTTAATTAGATTTTACTGCGTGTTGTTTTTAGTTTGCTTTGAGGTCCTCCAGCAACTCATTTTTAAAATAAATTTTTCATTGCAGGACAATCACTTCTGTTCAGCTCCTTTGGAGAAAAACGTGAGTATATCTTCTCTCTTGTGTCTTGTTACGTGTAGTGTAGATGTTCATGAAGATTCAAAGAAAAGAACCGAACGATCTTCCTTCTCTAGAGTTTCAACCCAGTCGCTCCTGGGAATTTTGCCGAAAAACGCCTTTTGAAGCTAGTCAAGCCGTTTTCTGGTCAATATCTGGGGTCAATTTTGTAAAACTTTTGCAAGTATTATTTACAAGTGTAGCCATTGTTTTAAAGTCTGGAAACAATAGCTAGACTTGTAAAAGTTTTATTTAATTGACTCCAGATTATAAAGGACCAAATGTTAAAGTTGTCATTGACCGTTAAAGTGATGACGTCATGAGTGGCGCAAAAAAAAGTCACGGTAAATCCGCACGGTTGGTTTTGAACGTTGTGTATTCTTCTAGTCGCGTGTTGGTCCGGGCGTAAGTATTGTGGAACCGTGCGTTTGCAATATCACCGGAGACAAAGGTAAGGCTCTGCTGAACGAGTGTCACGGCTGTCTTCTTCATTTTTTTAATATTGCCAATTAAGCTTTCTTTTGCGCTGTGGAGTGATTTAACGAAAGCTAAGAAATGAATTTGTAAACGTCAAAAATCACAGCGCTTTGTCAAACAAATGTTTCTCCCAAGCCAGGGTTCTATCTAGGATTTATCATTTGGGGGAGAAGTCCTGAGTGGCCGAAGGCGACAAGCCTCCTAGAGGCTTTACCGTAAAAAGGCCACCTAGAATTTTCTGGAGCTTTTCTCTGGCTGAAATTTTCGAAATTTTCGGATCACTAGACTTTCAGCTAGGAAATCCGAACTGATGAAAAATTTTTAGGGGATAAAAATATGTCTATATCTACCGTTTAAATACTAAAATACGTTCAACAATGCTATGTTTAAGTGGTTTTGAACTATATTCTCGTCAGGTGCCCCTGACCTTCTTTTAATGTGTTGAGCAGTTATTTTTATGGTTTACTCAATTTGTTGGCCGTTTCCTACTGTTAGAAATTCGGGGTCATGGTATAGGTCCTTTAATGCCTTAAACAACTAACCACATGTACATGTACTTGATCGGAAACTCTATTATTACAATCTAAATATGCTTCACTCTTTCCCGGGAAATGCTTTGGAGGCTTTTATTTTGTTTTAACATGCTTATTTCTAACATGGGACCGTGTTACAAAGTGCATTTTATGATTTTCAGTTAACGAACATTCCTTCACTGTTAACAATATTCTTGTTTGTCGTGCTTGTATGGTATTAGCTCTTGCGCGAAAGACTTTTGGTTGGATTACCACGATCCTTTGCGCAGCTAGGTAGGCACCATGATGGTGTCGGGTTTTTAAAGTAAAAAGCCCCACCAAATCTAACTGCCCGGTAGTAGACGTCGGCAAACTTCATACATATCCTGCGCCTTGTCTTGCGCAACCATCCTTTGCGGTACTTGTTGCTACACACCTTTTTCATGTCGCCCTGGAATGCTTTGTCGCATTGGTATCGCGTCCATTTATAATGTCGACCCTGAATTAAAAAAACGGTAAGATCTTCAAACTAGGCACTCAAAGGATCATTTAGATTATAAGAACTGATCCTTTAACCCAGTAGGATGAAGTATGCGACTCCTTCACTAACGAGCTAAAATTACCGTCCTTTGTGCAGGTACTGTCAAACGGTTGTCGAACAAATGCCTCGTTAAAATGCATGATACAATGTAGATTCTTTCTTTCTTTTCAATTGACAGAACCCTTCCGATTCTATGATTTATATATATATGTTGTAGTTAAGTTTTTATCTCAAGTAATTTTTGTTTTTCTTTGTTTTTGAGTATGTTAATGTATGCTAATGAAGTTGAAATAAAGAAAAAATAAAAATTACCTGAGATAAAAAATTAACTACAACATATATATATAGAGGATATTACACGGCGGCGCGAAGATATGAATTTTCTTTTCGAGTGACAAAACAATATTTTACGAACGAGCGCAGCGAGTGAGTGAAATATTGTTTTTGCCACGAGAAAATAAAATTCATATCTTCAAGCCGCCATGAAAATGTTCTTTTTATTATATAGACAAAAAGACCTGGATAAAACAATAGAGAGAAATTACCGAAATTACGTCATCGATAAACTCACTTGTGAGATTATGGAAAATAAACCACTCGGGTCCCGGATGTAGTTTTTATGAATTTTACGAGTGGTATATTTTCCAGTAAAACACTCGTGTCTATATAATAAATATATATATATATATATATAACACGCTAGAGCCAACAATAGCCCAAAAGGCGAAGTACAAGTATTTACAGTGTAATTCAAATATAGAAAAAAAAATTACTTCATGTGACACCTAATGGACCAGTCAGTGGTTCGCAGCAGCTTACACAACAGAAAAAGAAAAAAGGAAAAAAGTTTAGAACTAAGTAGTCAGCAGGTTCCATTTCCAGTCAACATTGCAGGAGAAACATGTGCAACCGGCTCTTAAAAGATTGAATTCCCGTGTCATTTACAAGGCAACGATGTTGTCCGGCAGGCTGTTCCAGATGTTAACAGCGCGATGGATAAAACTTCTCCCTGAAGAGTACGTTCCGGTTTCTATTAGCGAAAATTTCCCGCAATTCGGATTCCCTAACAAGTAGCCTGTTCCAGGCTCCGAGATAGTTGTGGAAAGTCGTTCAGTAATAAGAAATGCGAAAAACGCGCGGGGGCTGGGGACAGGCTACTAACAAGGAACGACGCGTACAAGACAAGAAGAAAAAAATAACGACAAAAAAGTGTTTTTTTTTTGTATGAACTTAGTCGTGTGTATGTTCTCAGCTGACATCGGTATCGACCTATAAAAACGCGCTTCAGTATTCAGTGAATTATATAACTAAAAATCGCCAAATATTGAAGAGTTAATCATTTTAGCTCCAATTCTCTACTTGGCAACTCAAAGATACCAAAAACGGCTGTGTAGCAGACTAGCCCGCAATGTGATTTTACGGCATTTTTTAACACGAAAGTTTTCATTTAAGATTGGATCCGCGTTTATGACGTAGCTGACTCCAAATGGCCGCTTTCAGTCGTTCACACGAATTCACCAAACCCGTCGCACCCACACTAAAAACGGCTGTGTAGCAGACTAATTGCGGGCTCGATTTTCGCAAACCTACCAGCAAGCATTTAGTAGAGAAAATTCCAAAACTCAGAGCAAAAAATAAGAAAACGAAACGTCTTCGCCGGGGCTAGTGAAAAACCTTTTAGGCTACTAGTCAGGAATTAGCAAATGTATATCGCAGTAGCGTATTCGTGTGGACGGGTGAATCCAAACCGGATACTCCACACCGTGTTGACGCAAATATCATGTACGCGGTTTCAGCATGTCCATGGTTTCAGCGCATCCAGATTCGTTTGGACGTGTCCCTGAGCTATCCTTTTTTAGTAAGAAAATGAAGCAAGTCTTACACAGTAGTAGCAGACATCGTGTTTGTTGCAAGCATTTATAAATGTCTTCTTGTAGAAGAATGGAAGTTTTCCTGGTATAGAGCAGCCATTGGCTTTTACGTAGCATGAGGTCACTTCTGAGATCAAGAACAATACTACCAAAAGACTAAGCACGGCGCATAAGGCTGAGAGTCTCATGGCGGTGTCAACCAGACAGGGAGAAAACCTTAAAAATAACAGGGAAAAGCATCAGCTGAAAAAAAAAAAAAAACTAAGAGACTGCGAAATTTAAAAAAATTATCTTTTATCCTATCCTTCATAATAATTCTTAACAAAAAAACCCATTTTTTTTCAACCTTAAATTTAAAAACCTCCCAGTTCTTCAAAAAACAATTCAAATATCTTTTTATATT